CTTGGATCGAATAACAGTCTCCTCACCTGCACATAACTTCGAGGGAACAAACCGCTTCGACCGTTACGTTCACCCTCCAACCAATTTGCATCCACTTCTCTCTGTATACGCACTACATCGCCCCTGTTCAATGACAGCTCTCTGAAACAATTTCGATTGGCAGACGTTTGAACCAATCCTTGAACTAGGAGGTACAAAGTGATTTTTGTACAAAGATGTTGCACGTTTCATAATGTTCCGTGGGCGGGCTGTCTAGTGCAGGGGGAACATTGAGTTTCGGGCGAAGGGACTACAGAATCAAGAGGATAAAATGAACAAGCACAATGGATAAAGGATAAAGGATAAAGTCTTCGCCGTTGATCAATCCCTTTGTGGGATGCGGCACGCATTCTACTTCCATTCAGAATCGTAGTGGCTTATTGAATGCGATGTGGCCCATGCAATGACTTGCGGGAAGGGGGAGGGGGAGGGGTGGGGCAGAGGATGTACCAGTCGGTATTTATATTATAACAGGCGATTTCAATCCAATATATCGTCCCTAAGGGCAGAAGGCTCGGCTGGCCTGGGCGAGAGCAGATTCGGGATTAGATTCCAGATCGCTTGCGTGGTAAGCGTGCCAATAGCCACCATACCAAACTTCCGCCTCAAACATGAAGGGTATGGATAAGAATTATGCATTTACGAGTAATTCTAGCCCAAAAAATGAGTCAACGGTCTTATAATATACATCAAAGAGGCTAACGTGAGGTCTACGTAAGGAGGAGAGGGCTTTTGAAAAGACACTTCACTTATGGAAGAGCATCACTAAAACTTTCTTCGGAGTGATGACATGTTTCGAACAGCTGGAATGCTGGTTTCTTTTACCGTCACAGCGACACCCCCTGGAAACCTGCACGCAAGTACCTCAGCCGTGGAAATTATGCCGCTGCTTCAGGCTGGCACGAACACTGTCAGCAGTCTTGAGCTCGGTGGCGATGACGAGCGGCTTCACCTTGTCGTGCCAGTGAGAGCTAAGGAGGAGTGTCTGCATTCGTCTCGAAAAGACCTGGGAATACTTACGAAAGGTTGCTGTACCTCACGTCCTGTGCGACGTACGCTTCGATGGTGCTCTTCATGAGCGAAGTGTCTCGTTTTTGCCTTCCGCCCTCCCCCCCCTCCCCCTTCCTCCCGGAGGACAAGAGAGGTCCCGTAGGCTTTGGACTACGAAAATAATGTAAAAAAAATGTGAGGAGCTGAATCGAAATAACAGTAAAAATGATATACACTGAGTGATTCCTCTTTGAAAAGTCAAAGAAAATTACAACTGAGTTTGGTACATACTTTGGTGACTTGGCGTCAAATTTGAAGATGGCTGTAGCTGTACGGACTGTCACGGGGTGCTGAAGTGGAGGAGTCGAACGACGGCTGTACTCATCCAGTAGTCCTCCAAAGCGGTCCTTGTTGTCCACTAAGGAAGGCGAAGCGGTGGGCCTGCAAACACAAGGATAAAAATAGCTTATAATTTTTTTTTGTTTTATTCTGC